TGTTCCTAATATAGCATCCTTCCCATATATTTTCACATTGGCCTTATTGATAGGCTTCATCGTCTGTCTCAAATCTAACTCAAGACTGCTGGCACAGAGAGAAAGTAAGGGAGCGATATCCTAGTCCAGCTGTAATCCCTCCCTTAGAGGCACTGATTATCGTCTTATAAATGGTAGAGCCAATATCGATATGTTTCATTCTTTGAATACAACAACTTAAAGTGGCTCTCTCCTTTGTGACCTCACTCAAATTTCTAGAAGGCAAGATTCTAGTTGAAATAAAATAGTGCCATGCTTTTGACTGGGCATTCTGTTTAGAGGAAGAAAAATTTATCTTATGCTCACCTCTGATTTTCCAAGCCACTTTTTCGCTAGTCAAAAACATCATAATTTAATCCAACTGTAAATCATAAGGCTCGAAACTTGAATAAAAACTGCCAGGTACAGTACTTAGCTTATATGCTGAGTTGGTATGAGCAGGGGTAAATTCAACTTGTCTCTCTCTAACGAACACCGCATCATTAGAGGCGTTAGGGATATTGGTGTAAAATTCATGCACAAGTGAAATCACCGCTGCAGCGGTCGTGTAGCAAAACGTCTCCCAGTGTCGACAAACTATCAAGTTTTCAACTGTTCCACTAGGGATAAGAAAACTTCCTTCTGCAATTAACTACTTTGAAACCAAAAAACTCATTATATCGTTCTTGAGCTTTAGCACTTGAAAATTTCTTCTTATAAAAAATCTCATTTCCTTTTACACCTTTGGTCTTAGGTGGCCATTTCTAGCAAAAATCAATTGGAGGAGAAAATGAGGCTCAATCAAGATATGTATAACTCAATATACAATTTTAGAGTAAAAGAAACTCTCCTCCATGGATTTTTCGCATTTTCCTCATCATTTTCCAAAAAATCTGAAATCCTCACACCAATGTAGATGAAAATCTCGACTAAAATGAAAATGAAAAGGTTGGAGAATGATTCTTACATGGAGAGGATGAAATCAAGTGATTCCGAGCTCCAAATGCAAGCCAAACGTTATGGAGGAGAAACCCTAGGTCTCAGCTGATCGAAGAAGAAGAGGGGATTTCGCGAAAATGAGCCGGGCTGGGCTTTTTCGCGACTTAAAGTGGATCGGCCAAAAAGCGGCGCCTACGCGCCGGTGCTTATTTTAACAACAATTTGCTTATGGTCTAAATAAAACCTTCTGCTCAACCCAAACTCAGTTTGGTCAATAATTTAATATTTTTAAACTCCCCTAGGTTTTCTTTTACACAAAATACCACCTAAGAACACAAAATAAGAAACAAGCTGACTCCTCATACGCCTCATCATATCTCATTTCCTTCTTCCAATTTCTAACAGAATCACTACACTGATAAATTAGTTGCTTCTAAGTAATTTCGTAGGGTAATCCCTTTATAAGATCATTCCCGATACATTGATTTATGCGTTACCAACTTCAGGAATTCTCTCATTCCAAAAGAAATGCACCTCTATCAATAATAAGGATAGTGTAGACCATCCACATGTTCATCACCAGCAAGCATGTTAATCTACTGATAACAACAAAGCCAACTAAAGGAAGTAATAGAATCTCGATATACCCATCCAATGTTCAAATCCAATATGTGTCCAGTTAAATTCTCGAGTTCAGTTAAGAACTGAGTCATAGTGAACAAGTTAGTCCAACGATCACCAGAAGACATTATTGAGCATAGCCACCATGAGAATTAAAGGACTTGGTTTAAAGTCCTCAACATGACAAAAAACCAAGATCTTACTCCAATTGACCCAACATTAGGACTTCATCAGATATAGACCTGTTTCCACCAATATAAGTTTTTAATCTGTGTCCATTAATATTAATATTCTTTCACTTTTGGGAACTTTAATATCCACAACACCAAATTGATAAACTTTAATTACAATAAATGACCCCGAACACCTAGACTTAATTTTTCCTAAAAATAATTTTAATCTTGTATTATATAATAATATTTTTTGCCCAGGCTCAAGATCTTTTCTTAGAACCTTCCGATCATGTCAGTTTTTCATCTTTTTCTTATAAGTTTTAGCATTTTCATATCATTTATTTCTAATATCTTCGAGCTCATTTAACTGTAATAATCGTTTCTCTCCAGTATTTTTCAAATTATAATTAAATTCTTTCACAGCCCAGTAAGTTTTCTGCTCTAACTCTACTGCCAAGTGACAAACCTTTCCAAATATGAGTTTATATGGTGGTGTTTTATAAGTAGTCTTATAAGCTCATAAAACATTATTCAATTTAGCAGACCAATCATTTCTATTTAAATTCACTATTTTCTTTAAAATTCTTTTAATTTCTATGTTAGAAACTTCAGCTAAACCACTAGTTTGTGGATAATAAGCTGTGACAATTTTGTATTTAATCCCAAAATTTTCAACTGACATTTCAATCTTTTTTTTTAATGGTTTCCCCAACTGTAATAATCACTCTTATCATCTGAAATCTACAAAAAAATATTTTTCTTCAGAAATTTAGCAACATATTGAGCATCACAATGAGATAAAACTACAACTTCAATCCACTTAGAAACATAATTCACAACTATTAAAATATATAGGATTCCGAAAGATGGTACAAATGGTCTCATAAAATTTAGGCCCCAACATAAAAAATTTAAATCTCTAAGGTAAAATTTGTGGACATTTCATTTCTTTTTAATATATTGCATACTCACTGAAATCTATCACATGTTTTTACATAATTATTAACATCTATAAATAAAATATGTAAATAAAACCCATATTGTATAATCTTAAATGCAGTTCTATCGACTCTAAAATATCTCCCAAACTCAGAATCATGATATTTCTGAATTATATATTTGGTTTCTTCTAAAGGTACACATATTCGTATAACTTGATAATTACATTTGTTATATAGATAAAAGTTATTACAGAAGTAAAATTTTGCATCATGAATAAACTTTTTTCGTTGATGATATGTTAATCCGTACTGTAACAATATAGTTCACTACATCGACATACTACGGAACATATCACTAAAAAAATATATAATTGTTCATAAAAAAAATATTCATTAATTTCATCTTCATAATTATAAGAATTTTCCTGTTCCAGCCTCGATTGATGATCAACTATCTAATTATCATATCTCTTTCTATCTACTACTTTAAAGTCAAATTCCTGCATCAGAAGGACCGATCTAATTAATCTTAGTTTAGCATTCATGTTCAGTATCAGATCTCTAATAGTAGAGTGATCAGTATGCACAATACATTTAGCTCCTATGAGACATGATCTAAATTTATCAAATGCATATACTATTGCCAATAATTCATTCTCAGTAGTAGTATAATTAATTTGAGCTTTATTTAAGGTTTTACTAACATATTATATAAATGAAAATCTTATCATTCATTTGCCCTAATGCTATCCCAATAACATAATCAATCGCATCGCACATCAGCTCAAATGGTCTCCCCCAATTAGGTGAGACTATAATAGGTGCGGTGATTAATTTTTCCTCTAATAAATTGAAGATATTTAGATGTTTCTAGTAAAATAAAAAATTTCATCTTTTTCTAAAAGATGATATAAAGACTTGACGATTTTTTAAAAGTTTTTAATGTATCGCCTATAAAAACCAGCATGTCCTAAAAAACTCCTAACTCCTCTCACTGTGGTAGGAGGAGACAGTTTACCAATTACTTGAATTTTTATTGGATTTACTTCTTGTCATTTTCAGATATTTTATGTTCAAGAATTATTCCTTCTGCGACCATAAATTGATATTTTTCCCAATTAAGAACGAGATTGGTTTCTTCACACCGTTTAAGTACCCTCGCCGAATGGTCTAGGCATGACTAAAATGAGGTACCAAATACTGAAAATCGTCTAACCATACTTCAATCCTTTTTTCAATTAGATCGCAAAAAATGGATATCATATACCTTTGAAAAGTAACAGGTGCGTTACATAGGTCGAAGGACATCCTTCTAAAAGTAAAAGTCCTGTAAGGACTAGTGAATGTAGTCTTTTCTTGAAGCAGTTATCATTGCTTGTTGTCAATTTGGAGTTATAATTGAAGATGTCATCGTCTCTAGGGCTGCAGCCATCAAGACTTGAAGGCTTCACTTCTTCAAGTATTGAGTTCGTGCTTTGCATTATTTAACCTTAGGCCTTATGAAAAAAAAAAAAAATAAATAAATAAATAAATATATATATATATATATAT